GATAGTTAGGTTAGGTTAGGTAAGGTTGGTTAGGTTCGGTCATATATCTACGTTAATTTAACTCCAATAAAAAAAATTTTACCTCATACATAGAGAAAAGGGTTGCTTTATCATTTCATAAGAAAAAAAATTTAGTAAATATATTAATTCAGGAGAACTTGGCTTATTAGGCAAATCGGGCCTTGAATAGTAGGCTGAGAAGTGAGTTCTGGCTACTAGGTACGACATATATATATATATAATATATATATATATATATATATATATATATATATATATATATATATATATATATATATATGTCGTACCTAGTAGCCAGAACGCACTTCTCGGCTTACTATGCAAGGCCCGATTTGCCTAATAAGCCAAGTTTTCCTGAATTAATATATTTTCTCTAATTTTTTTCTTATCAAATGATAAAGCTACCCATTTCATTATGTAAGAGGTCAATTTTTTTTTATTGCAGTTAAAATTAACGTAGATATATGACCGAACCTAACCAACCCTACCTAACCTAACCTAACCTATCTTTATAGGTTAGGTTAGGTTAGGTAGCCGAAAAAGTTAGGTTAGGTTAGGTAGGTTAGGTTAGGTAGTCGAAAAACAATTAATTCATGAAAATTTGGCTTATTAGGCAAATCGGGCCTTGCATAGTAGGCTGAGAAGTGCGTTTTCAAAGACTTTTGAAAGACTCAAAGACTGTAGTTTACACATACACAATGAATAGAACTTACACATCTCGATTTGTTATATCTACATTGAGTGAGGTGGAGGGGGTTGTGAGGTGGGTATTAATAGGGTATTAATTTCATCAACACAAGACAGAACACGAAACAATGGGTATTGAATGGAAGTGATTGTAGAAAGCCTATTGGTCCATATTTCTTGATGCTTCTATATTGGACCGGAGTCTTGAGGTGGGTAGAATATAGTTGTGCATTAATTGGCTGTTGATTGCTGGTGTTGACTTTTTAATGTGTAGTGCCTCGCAATCGTCAAGACGCCTGCTATCGCTGTATCTATCGATATTTCTCTGGCGATGGTTTGGTTGTGGGAAGAGATTATATGTTCCTTAATAGAGCCCTGTTGCTTATGCATCGTTAAACGCCTAGAAAGAGATGTTGTTGTCTTGCCTATATACTGGGTTTTTTGGAGCTTACAGTCCCCAAGAGGGCATTTGAAGGCATAGACGACGTTGGTCTCTTTTAAAGCGTTCTGCTTTGTGTCTGGAGAGTTTCTCATGAGTAGGCTGGCCGTTTTTCTGGTTTTATAGTAAATCGTCAGTTGTATCCTCTGATTTTTGTCTGTAGGGATAACGTTTCTATTAACAATATCTTTCTGGACCCTTTCCTCCGTTTTATGAGCTGTGGAAAAGAAGTTCCTGTAAAATAGTCTAATAGGGGGTATAGGTGTTGTGTTAGTTGTCACTTCAGAGGTTGAATGGCGTTTCACTTTCCTTCTTATGATGTCTTCGACGAAACCATTGGAGAAGCCGTTGTTGACTAGGACCTGCCTTACCCTACAGAGTTCTTCGTCGACTTGCTTCCATTCTGAGCTGTGGCTGAGAGCACGGTCGACATATGCGTTAACAACACTCGTCTTGTACCTGTCTGGGCAGTCGCTGTTGGCATTTAGGCACATTCCTATGTTCGTTTCCTTAGTGTCGTATCACCTCACCCAAATGCAGGTATAAAATCGAAGCTGTTTAAACTCTGACTCTGTTAAGTTATAGTTGTGTGTGTGTAAACTAAAGTCTTTGAAAAAGTAATAAGTTATCACAAAACGCGTTCAAGTGTCGCGTCAGACTAGAAATTAAAATTAATTTTGGAGAATTAATTTTTCAGTTACCATCAACAGTGAAAAGAAATATAAGAAATATTGAGAAAATTCGTATTAGAATTATTAATCTTACTTTTTCGGTCATATTTAATAATATATGTCTACAGGAAAGACTGCTACCAAAATATACTAATATATATATATATATATATATATATATATATATATATATATATATATATATATATATATATATATATATATATATATATATATATGAATTAGTATATATTTAGCAGTCTTTCTTGTAAACATATGTTGTTGAATATGATCGAAAGGGTAAGTATAACGATTCTAACACGAACCTTCTCAATATTTAATACGTTTTTCTTCACTGTCGAGGGTAATTTAATTAAAAACTTTACTCTCCAAAGTTTATTTTCGTATTGTATTTATGGTCTGACACTAGAAGCATTTCTTACGAGACTTCTTACATTTTCAAAGACAAATTATATGTACTTCGTTTCATGCTTATATTTGTTTTTGGGTGAGGTGATATGACACAAATCAATGAGTAAAGATTATTTTACATAGTCAGAACACGAATCAATGGGTACATTGCGTATTTTCTCTTCTTGCTTCTGTGTTGGTTCGGGGGCTTGAAGTCGGTAGAATGTAATTATATGTTAATTGGCAGTTGATTGCTGGTGTTGATTTTTTGACGTGTAGAGCCTCGCTGATGTCGAGTCTCCTGCTGTTGCTGTATCTATCGATAATGTCTGAGTTGCTTATTAAGATTTCTCTGGCGATGGTCTGGTTGTGTGAGGAGTTTATATACCCTGTTGTTTGTACATTGTTAATCGCCTAGAAAGAGACGTTGTTGTCTTGCATGTATACTGAGATCTTAGGGGCTGACAATCCCCAAGTGGGCCTGTGAAGGCATAGACGACATTTCTTTCAAGGCGTTCTGTTTGGTGTCTGGAGAGTTCTTCATGAGTAGGTTGGCCGTTTTCTTGTTTTTGTAGAAAATTGTAAATTGTATCTTCTAGTTTTTGTCTGTGGGGATAACGTTCTTATTAATAATATCTTTCAGGACACTTTCCTCCGTTTTATGAACCGTCGAAAAGAAGTTCCAGTAAAACACTTATTTTAGACTTTTGTTTCAACATCGCCATCTTGGTGGCGGATATAGATGCACAGTGTGTTATAAGTGATTCATTGATTGATGAAGGTTAAACCACCCACGAGGTGGCACGGGCATGAATAGCCTGTAAGGTTATAAGTGTTATTGCTGCTGGATATATTGCCAGGGATGAGGTAATGGCGAAGCCCCTCACTTATGGGACATTACTCCTACTGTAACTGAACAATCTCCTGTTTCAATGGTGGCTTGGACAATATCTTGAATGTTTCGTCGGGTTCTCGATGATGGCAGAGTGTAATTTAGTGTTAGTTGACTGTTGATACTTGGCTTGGTTTGCTTAATGTATAGGGCCTCGCCAATGTCCCGTCTGCTATTGTTGTTGTATATGTCGATTATTTTGGTGTTATTTGTCAGGATATCTCTGGCGATGATCTAGTTATGTAGAGACTTCATCTACCTTGATAGGGCCTTGCAGTTTGTGCATTTTTAAGGCCCCACTTAAGGGATGTTGTTGTTTTGCCTATATATTGAGTTTGTTGGGCTAACACTCCCCAATTTGGCATGTGAGGGCATAATTGACATTTTTCTCTTATAATGAGATTAGTCTGGTGTCAGGATAGTTTTCTCATGAACAAGTTAGTAGTCTTCTTGCTCCTATAGTATATTACTAATAGCTGAGCACGCATGGGTGCTCAGCTAGTACTCCTAAGATGGCGGGGGTTTACCAGAAGCCCGAGGCTTCTGGTAAACCGAGGTGTATCGTTGCCCAGTTTACCTCACGGGAGTTTCAGTGTTTCGCATTACCAACTAATGACTCAGAGTGTGATGAACATCACGAGCAATGATGGGTTGAAGATCAGTTACACATCCACAAGTCTCCGGGAATCCGGTGCTGTGCTCGACTCTAATGATTTATTACAGATAAAAGTCAAGGATCACTACATTCATGAATAACGCTGGCAAAGCCTTCGTATGGCAGTGGGGACATGGCCTTAATTTTAAGTATTTATTAAATAACATCCTCGCTTTTAATATATCAAACTCCTTTGCATTACCTTAAAAATTTTCAAGACGAAGGTATAATATTTTATTTTTCAGTAAGTACTCAGACAAAATACATATGTAAAATGCCGCGCATTTTTTATCATCAGTTAATTGCTTTACTAATTCGTATAAGGAGCAATCTTTCCACCCAGTCTATGGTTGACATATCTGATAAAATTTCAGAATTCATGTTGTACTATATGCACCTTATAGTTTGTTTTGATTTTCTTACACACTTTATAACTGTTGTTCTAGGTACACTTTGGAAATGTGGCAGTTTATATATGGAATATATTTCCAGGCAGGATAATGGAATTGGTTCATCTGGATAGTCTCGAGTATGGGGAAAACAAATATATGTTAGAGTATTGTAAACCATTAAAAGTTACAGCCGAGTACGGGTTACCAGGCCATCTGAAGTTTCCTTTAATGTTAAGTGTAAAATATTCTCGGCCTAGAGACTTTTCATTACGTGGTAAAGCCCACTCTCGATACAAACTGATATGTATTTACTCCGGGCAGGAAACTGCTCAAGTAATGTAACTGTAACTGTAGAGTGACAAGCTACGCATGGCATGTTTTGTTCAGATAAATTATGTCGTGCAAAACAGTAGGCTTCCTGTAACACAGAGTTTTTATACATATATCCGCCTCACCACTTGCCCAGAGCTGTTATGTTGTCACCTCTATGCCTCACATGCAGAGACTCACCTCTTTGCTGCCTCGCACTACGCTGGAGAGGGTGACTCATCATTTTGCTGCCTCGCCATCCTCTGGAGAGAATGACCCACCTCTTTGCTGCCTTGCACTCTTCTGCAGAGAATGACTCACCTCTTTGTTGCCTCGCACTCCTCTTCAGAGAATGACTCACCTCTTTGCTGCCTCGCACTCCTCTGCAACGAATGACTCACCTTTTTGCTGCCTCGCAGTCCTCTGCAGAGAGTGATTCACCTCTTTATTGCCTCCCACTCTGCTGGAAAGAGAGTGACTCACCTCTTAGCTGCCTCCCACTCCACTGGAGAAAGTGACTCACCTCTTTGCTGCCTCGCACTCCACTGGAGAGCGTGTATGCAGAAAGAACATTGAGGGCCTTCACCACTCTGGCGGAGGGCACTAGCATCTGAAGATGTTCCGCTTGGCTCCTCTCTGACGGGTCATACGTCTTTGGGTCTCTGAGGGAACATAACAAGTTCGACCTTTACTAAAACATCACTAAAGTGCTCGAGCACCCTTGAAAAACATTAATACCTCCTGCCACTTGGGCTGGGCGGTAGAGCGACGATCTCGCTTCATACAGGTCGGCGTTCAATCCCCGGCCGTCCAAGTGGCTGGGGCACCATTCCTTACCCCCCATCCCATCCCAAATACTTATATCCTGACCCCTTCCCAGGGCTATATAGTCGTAATGGCTTGGCACTTTCCCCTGATAGTTCACTACCTCTTCCTGCAGGTGAAATTTCTATGCTAAAGTTGAACAGGTTTTAACAGTAAAAATAAACTGTTGATTCCAGCCTTAATAACATTCTCATTAAAAATGAAAGGTCAAAATATAAATAATTAAAAGCTGAACTGTAAAAATTTGCTTTCAAATTTTAAATAAACAAAATCTATTGATTTGTCAAAATATTTTTGACAAATCAATATTAGGTAACACAGTCTACGGTAAACATCGTAGACTGTGTTTACATTCCTTGTTTCCCATTAACATCATTCTTAACTGTAATATATGTATATGTTGATTACAGTTGATTACAGTTGTTGATTACAGTTGTTGATTAAGGGAGGAGATCAAATCCCTCACAGAAAAAAATAAAGAGACCGAGCATCAGATTATCATCCAAAGGGAAGGTGGGAATGTTACATTGGAAGGAAATGCCTCTGTACCTGAAACATTTGCGGACATACTGAAAAAGAGCTCAGAAGCTATGGACACAGTGAGGGAGGTAGCGATGCAAGCAGCTACGTCACAGGAAGCACCAAGGTGCACCACTCAGCTGCTGGAGAGAAAAAGATCAGTGGTAGTTGTAGGCATCAAAGAACAGGTAGGTTCCAACAGGCAAGAATGGAATAACAAGGATAGAGAGGCAGTACATGGGCTACTGAAGGGGTTACAGATGGAAGGGGCTGAACGAAACATTGAGAAGGTTTTCAGGTTGGGCTGGTATAACAAGGACAGAAACCGACTTCTAAAGGTGGTGTTTACAAACGAAACCACGAAGGAGGATATTCTCGAAAGGAAGAGTCGACTGCAGCATGTGGAGGGATACAAGAAAGTATTCCTGCAGAGGGACAGGACGAAGGAGGAGAGAGCCAGGGCAGCAGAGGCAAGGAGGAAGCGCAGGGAGGGAGGAGCAAACCAGGAAATCACAGCCCCCAACACAACAGTCCCAGAGACAAGAGGCGAACCCAAAACCAGCATCCCAGCAACACCAGAGGGGGGGGGGGGGCAACACCACCACCCCCCTCTGCATGGAAACCCTCCCTTCCCTTCACCCTACCTGCCAACACCCAACCCTCCCTCCCCCCCCCCAACCCCATTTTTACCCTGTCATCCCTTCCCCATTATCATCATGTCCCCCCTCCCAGCTTCCCCCCCCCCTGTCCCCCCCCCTCCCCCTTCATCCCATACCCTCCCTATCTCTCCTCCCCCCCCCCTCACCCCATATCCTCCATGTCCCACCTATCTCCTTAACCCACACCCTACCTGTCCCCCCTTCCCTGAAACCCCCACCCTTCACCTTTCATACATTCCCTTAATAGGGAATGTATGAAAGCAAAGGAGCTGAACAAAAGGGCATGGCGGAACTTCTGTAATAACAGAACACCAGAAAGTAGAGAGAGATACCAGAGAACCAGAAACGAGTATGTAAGTGTGAGAAGAGCAGCTGAGAAAAGGTTAGAAAATGATATAGCTAATAAAGCCAAGACCGAACCAAAGCTACTACACAGTCACATCAGGAGGAAGACAACAGTGAAGGAACAGGTGATGAAACTTAGGGTGGGCGAGGACAGGTACACAGAGAATGACAAAGAGGTGTGTGAAGAACTCAACAAAAGGTTCCAGGAGGTCTTTACAATAGAACAGGGAGAAGTCAAGACGCTAGGAGAGGTGGCAGAAACCAGGTGACGTTAGAAAGGTTCGAAATTACAAGAGATGAGGTCAAGAAGCATCTATTGGAGCTGGATGTGAGAAAAGCTGTAGGGCCGGATGGAATCTCACCATGGGTATTGAAAGAGTGTGCAAGAGCACTTTGCTTGCCACTCTCCATAGTGTATAGTAGGTCACTGGAAACGGGAGACCTACCAGAAGTATGGAAGACTGCTAATGTAGTACCAATATTTAAAAAGGGTGACAGACAAGAGGCACTGAACTACAGGCCAGTGTCCTTAACATGTATACCATGCAAGGTGATGGAGAAGATTGTGAGAAAAAACCTAGTAACACATCTGGAGAGAAGAGACTTCGTGACAACCCATCAACATGGGTTCAGGGAGGGTAAATCTTGCCTTACAGGCTTGATAGAATTCTATGATCAGGTGACAAAGATTAAGCAAGGAAGAGAAGGACGGGCGGACTGCATTTTTTTGGACTGTCGGAAAGCCTTTGACACAGTACCCCATAAAAGGTTGATGCATAAGCTGGAGAAACAGGCAGGAGTAACTGGCAGGGCGCTCCAGTGGATAAGGGAGTACCTAAGCAATAGGAAGCAGAGAGTTATAGTGAGGGGTGAGACCTCAGAATGGCGTGAAATCACCATTGGAGTCCCACAGGGCTCTGTGCTTGGACCTATCCTGTTTCTGATATACGTAAATGATCTCCCAGGGGGTATAGACTTATTCCTCTCAATATTTGCTGACGACGCCAAAATTATGAGAAGGATTAAGACAGAGGAGGACAGCTTGAGGCTTCAAGAAGACTGGACAAGCTGCAGGAATGGTCGAACAAATGGATGTTAGAGTTTAACCCAAGCAAATGTAATGTAATGAAGATAGGGGTAGGAAGCAGGAGACCAGATACAAGGTATCACTTGGGAGATGAAATACTTCAAGAGTCAGAGAGAGAGAAAGACCTGGGGGTTGATATCACGCCAGACCTGTCCCCTGAAGCTCATATCAAGAGGATAACATCAGCAGCATATGCCAGATTGGCTAACGTAAGAACGGCCTTTAGAAACTTGTGTAAGGAATCTTTCAGAACATTATATACCACATATGTCAGACCAATGCTGGAGTATGCGGCTCCAGCATGGAGTCCATATCTAGTCAAGCATAAGACTAAACTGGAAAAGGTTCAAAGGTTTGCCACCAGACTAATACCCGAGCTGAGAGGTATGAGCTACGAGGAGAGACTACGGGAATTGAACCTCACTTCGTTGGAAGACAGAAGAGTTAGTGGGGACATGATCACCACATTCAAGATTCTCAAGGGAATTTACAGGGTTGATAAAGACAGGCTATTTAACACAAGGGGCACACGCACTAGGGGACACAGATGGAAACTGAGTGCCCAAATGAGCCACAGAGATATTAGAACGAACTTTTTTAGTGTCAGAGTGGTTGACAAATGGAATGCATTAGGAAGCAATGTGGTGGAGGCAGACTCCATTCACAGTTTCAAGTGTAGATATGATAGAGCCCAATAGGCTCAGAAACCTGTACACCTGTTGATTGACGGTTGAGAGGCGGGACCAAAGAGCCAGAGCTCAACCCCCGCAAGCACAACTAGGTGAGTACAACTAGGTGAGTACAACTAGGTGAGTACACACACACACACACACACACACACACACACACACACACACACACACACACACACACACACACACACACACACACACACATACACACATACACAGACTACGGGAATTAAACCTCCCTTCGTTGGAAGACAGAAGAGTTAGGGGGGACATGATCACCACATACAAGATTCTCATGGGAATCGGCAGGGTAGATAGAGACAGGTTATTTAACACAAGGGGGACACACACTAGGGGACACAGCTGGAAACTGAGTGCCCAAATGAGCCTCAGAGATATTAGAAAGAACTTTTTTTAGCGTCAGAGTGGTTGACAAATGGAATGCATTAGGAAGTGATGTGGTGGAGGCTGACTCCATACACAGTTTCAAGTGTAGATATGATAGAGCCCAATGGGCTCAGGAACCTGTACACCTGTTGATTGACGGTTGAGAGGCGGGACCAAAGAGCCAGAGCTTAACCCCCGCAAGCACAATTAGGTGAGTAAACACACACACACACAGGGAGCCGGCCGTCCGAGCGGACAGCACGCTTGAGACGTGATCCTGTGGTCCCGGATTCAATCCCGGGCGCCGGCGAGAAACGATTGGCAGTTTCTTTCACCCTATGCCCCTGTTACCTAGCAGTAAATAGGTACCTGGGAGTTAGTCAGCTGTCACGGGCTGCTTCTTGGGGTGTGTGCGTGTGTGTATGTGGTGTGGAAAAAAATAGAAGTAGTAGAAACAGTTGATTGACAGTTGAGAGGCGGGCCAAAAGAACAGAGTTCAACCCCCGCAAGCACAAGTAGGTGAATACACACCACGCTCAGCACAAACACACACCACACTCAGCACATACACACTCACACACACTAAACTCAGCGCATACACCACACTCAGAACACACACACACTCACATACACACACCTCACTGAGCACTGCACACATTTGGAGCGAAAGTTACAGTCTCCGTGGTGTAGTGGTAAGACACTCGCCTGGCGTTCCGCGAGCGCTATGTCATGGGTTCGTATCCTGGCCGGGGAGGATTTACTGGGCGCAATTCCTTAACTGTAGCCTCTGTTTAACGCAACAGTAAAATGTGTACTTGGATGAAAAAACGATTTTTCGCGGCAGGGGATCGTATTCCAGGGACCTGCCCGAAACGCTACGCGTACTAGTGGCTGTACATGAATGTAACAACTCTTGTATATATCTCCAAAAAAAAAAAGAAAAAAAAAAAGAAAGAACTTTGTAACATATCAGCATGGGTTCAGGGATGGTAAATCATGACTCACAGTATTAATTGAATTCTATTACCAGGCAAGAAAGAGAGGGGTGGCCAGACTGTTTGTTTTTGTATTGTCAGAAGGCCTTTGGCACAATACCATACGACAGACTAGTGCACAAGCTGGAGATGCCGGCAGGAGTGACATGGAAG